GGGGGGGGGGGGGAGGGATGAGGGTTACGGTGCGCCGCTGGTACACAGTACCATTCCGCTTCGCCGTCAGATGCCATCATGACAAGTGTAAAAGAGCGATCCAAGTGGGGTCCATTGTAGTACTTAACGCAAATTACATATAGAGATATTAAATGTATTATATATGGGAAATCACATAACTGATGGGTAATAAAAAATAGAAATACGAAAATATATATATATTTTTTTAAAAAAAAAAAGTATAAAATAATACCTTATATATTTTTTTCAAAATAATTACTTTTAATATTTTCAAAAATTTTATAATAATAAAATAAAATTAATTAGACTTTTATTTCGTACTACGGATCAAGTAGCAGATTAACCAGTTTTAATCTTATTAAAATTCTTAAAGTATTAGTAATATTCCATTTTTAGTATTTATTTAATATTTTTAGTAAATTTAATTATTAAAATTAGTGCGAGGAGAAAGTGGTGGGGAATGAAAAATAACTCCAAAAGAAAAATTTTCAGAAGCAAAGCAAATTACTCTTCTTGTATATTTTCACTTTACCCAACATCTCTGTCACAAGTTTCCAATACTGACCTACATAAACCCTCCCAAAAAAGAAACCAAAATTAAAATTTCTTTTTTTTTTTTTTTTTTTTGCCAATTATTTGCTCAACCTATGCAAGTATGTATATACATCAGCATTCTCTTGTATAGTAAAAAACGATATCTAACAGTTGAAGAATTAAGAAAAGTTATTATCAATTTGTAGCTCTTCTGCTGCTGCTGATTCTGATGTGTGATTTTCAAACGAAATTTCGTCTACTACTTCTATGGTATTGTTGAGAGGGCCCTGTGGGGTTCCGAAAAGGGTAGTGAATATCTGTCTATGGCATTCGTCGCAGAAACAGAAATACGTGAAATGGCCCTCGTATGGCAGCTTATGCATTGCAGCTCCAGGCAAAATCCGGTGCACAAAATCAGTCATCGATGGCGGGACAACCTTATCATCCATCCCCTGCATGGAATGTGTATGCTAAATTTGATTACAGAGAGAGAGAGAGAGAGAGAGAGAGAGAGAAGTATTAAATGAATAGGATGTACTATCTCCAAGATTTATTTTTATTTCCCAATCGTTCAGGCATAAAAAGCTCTATTTCACAAGATTTAGGCTACATTTAGGGGGGAAAGAGCATAAAAATTTTGTGAAATAATTTGTAGATACACAATTGTTCAATTATCAAAGAATATAAATTATATCAGGATACCCAAAAAATTACAGAAATATTGAGTTTATATAGAATTGGAAGAATGTATTTCAAATTCCTTCTAATTGTATGGACTTTGCAATTCACTGTGCCATCCTTCCATATGATGTTATTTATTTTAATTTTGGGGAGGAATTCACCAGTTTCTAGCTAAACTAAGTATGAATTTACAAATGAATTCCACAAAATTTCTAAGTTTGTTCCAAAACACAACCTTGAGTAAAGTTAATAGCTCCATTCTCTGTCCTATGAAAGGAAGCATTATGTTTGGAGCAAACCAAAAAATTTAGTGGAATTCATTCACAAATTCACATTTAATTTTAACTAGAAGATTGTGATAATCGTTCCTTATAATAAGAATTGATCTCACAAGGAATTTCATATGGAACCTAAAACAATGCAATCCAAGTTTCATCAATTTCATTATAATCTAAACTTGACTGTTCCAATTTCATATCAAAATTACATTATGTCTTAGTTGAACTAAGTGCAAATCTGAAAGTTAGTTGCACTAAGTTTCTGTATTTGTTTCAAGTATAGCCTAAATTTATGAACAAATGAACAAATTTTGATATGATCCAGCAAGTTAGTCAAGTTATGAGCGAGGCACGAGAGAAGTAAGTTTAATCCAACCAACAATAAGTCTGGAGGTGTACAAGCTGTGGACTTTGGTTTATGGGCTGCTGGACATTAGTTGGATGATGGCAGGATCGGCGAGGGAAGAAATTTGGGTGTGGAGGGGTGCTAGAAGCCGGTAGAAAGAAATGGACATGGTACCGCTCTCTATCCTTAAGAATTGATGGTTCCAGATACTTGATATTTTTGTTACAGGGTCATTCTCTAATTTCTAATGGAGGATTTACCGGAATTTGTTGATATGTTAATTGACTTGTAAATGTTGTAAATGGGTGACACCACCTTGGTGCCTATATTAATACATATTTTATATTTCAAAAGAAAAAAATAACAGCAATGCAAATAACTTGAGTTACTGACCTGCCATATATGTATGGGACCAAGAAAACCAGTGAATTCCTCCTGCGATCCACTGAAAAAGGATTTCAGTAGATTGAGGATGCCTCTTCCTCTCCTTTTCTTTTGCAACTTGACGTCTGCAAGGCTGAAACCCCAGTTTGAGACTTGCAGCACAGCTTCCTCCACAAATGGTTTTACATTTCCTTGTCGTATTGATTCCTCAACATCCCTTTGCCAGAATTCTTCGTAGACAGGGTCCTCAATCAAAGCTTTGTCCTGTAAATATCAAATAAATTCTTGGAATTGAAGACCTACAAAAAAGTTATAAGGGCTAGATCTTCTTTAAACTATTAAGTTAACCCTATCCTTTAAAGTATACTAAGAAAATACAAGGCATTAGCTACAGATAGAATTTAAGATCTCAATCTACAGAAATTAGACAAAATATTTTATACAACTATATTATATCTAGTTGCATTTGTTTCACCAGTATCCTTTGTGTCCTATTGCATAATCTCAATGCCATTTACTAGGTTTATGCCATTACTTGCAAGAATATCATAGTATGGCAGCATGGCAATGTAGTAGAAACAAAATTTTTAAACCAACTGACCAGGAAATCAGAAGAAATATCTAGAAAAAAAAAACCATAAAAGATCAAGAGATGATCATCCTTCTCTCCAAAGAATTTGAGAATGATTAGGAAGTAAAAGATAGAAAACCTCACCCTCCTTCCCAGTGATAATGAAAGCCACTTATCAATCTGTTCATGCTTTCCAGACAGAAAACTCCTATGATAGAAGTAAGCAAGTAAGCTCGGAAATCTCCGAGCTAAAAAGTACATAAATTTCCTTCTTCGGGTCCACTTCCCCCACGTACCATATTTCTCTTCCCTGTTCATCATTGAATCATATGGATTAACCATTGGAGCAAACATGGCAGCACCTGCAAGTTTGGCCATGGTAAGAATGTGACAATTGATTTTAACCGGGAAGAAACACTATTAGTTAAGCCATGTGGACGACTACTTTCACAAGCATCATGTGTGAAATAATGCCTTTTACCTTCTAATCACATTAATCAAAGGAAAAAAAAAAAGGTGGGCGGTGTTCATTTTTAATTTTTCTTTTGAAAAAGAAAAAGGAATAAAAAAGAAAAATCCATTCACAAGGCTAGGGGATGCCAACATTTTACTTATATGTTGAAGGACAGGGAATGCAGTTAGTCATCACAGCTGATGTGTTGATACATTCTTCAGACATTTCAGCCCACCATATTGACATCCAAAGACCAGAAAAAAATGCTGAGTTTCATCTCTTACGTTTTTAAAGATATTCTCATTTCTCTGAGACATTACCTGAGTTGTACAAAGAGGCTTTTATCAATTCAGCACTCAAAGTTGAAAACAAAATTATACCTTAAAGAGAAAGACAGACGTAACATTTTTCCCTTTCCAATTCCTCAAGAATTAAGTATGAACATTAAGCATTATGCTTTTAGATATAAATGTATTAAATGCAAAGAGAAGGCAGCCAACAATCAAGGTTACTGACAAGTTAAGCTGATCTAAAATGGCTTTCTAATTAAATATGATGATTTAATTGTGCAGATAAACAGAAGATAATCTAGGAATCAGAGAGGGAGATTTAATACCTGCAAGCCTATCAGGAATGAATCTCAGAGCAGCCCATGCATGTAGGCTTCCACTAGAATATCCCAGTACCCAAAATTTTTGGTTGAGACCCAATGCATTTGCTAGGAACAGCATATCGAGTGCTGATGACTGAAGTGTTCGGCTAGGGTGAGAAGAACTCTCCCCAAAACCTGGAAGATCATAGGTTAACAAGTGTATTCCGAACTCCTCCAGCAGTGAAGCCTTAACTCCAGGTATACCTGTACAAGAGAAAATATCGAACCTAAGGACTCTTACCTCAAAAAAATATGTCAAAACAAAGGGGAAGAACCAAACTGCAGTGGTTAGAAGTGCCAATAAGTATTTGTTGGTTTGTCCTATGACATCTTTAACAGTGATGCTATCTGACCTGCAAGTCGGGAGGACAGAAAAGAATGAGGTGCAATCATTGAAAATCTAGCTCTGTCAGCCGGAACACCTTGTTCCTTGTATGCCATGTATCTACCATCTGGAAGCACGATGAGGTCAGCACTAGGAGGATGTATGTACACTTTCTTTATCACTTGGGGCGAAGTACTTTCTCCAGTATTTATGCTCAAGGCTGCATATTAACTTATTATGTGTCAATAAGATGTTTAGTGAAAACAGGCCAAAGCATAGAAAATTAACTGGCAACCAATTCTTGAAAATTTTCAGTTAAATGATGTGGTCCAAAAAATCAAACATTATGACATTTAATAACCAAATTAGACTAAAATGAAACTAAAATATACTGTGCAGAAAAGGAGACAAATTGGTATGTATTAGAGAACGAGTACTTCTCATGTACAAAATCAAGTTTAACCAATGGGAAATTGAAAGTTGAAATGTGTGAAAACCATGTATAAATCTCTAGTTCACCATTTCTAGACCAATTACATCTTAATGCAGCATGGAAATTATAGAAAATGAGTCTTGAATCCATGCACATGCGCATGTAAAATGCACATAAAAGAGCACTGAACTTATTAGCTGCAATTACTTATGCTCCATATAAATGTGCCACTTCTCAAGCCCACTTATGCAGCATGGCATGATTTTCTACACATTTGTTTCTCATTCTCATATAAGAAATAACTATTCTATTCCTTCACATATATTTTTAAGTGAATTTATTCTCCTTGAAAATCTGATCGTTGTGGCAGATAACATCTTCCTAGCTACTCGGATTTCAGGTGACTTCTGTAGACCTTATAAGAGGCTTATAAAATTGCAGATAAGGTGTCTTCAAAAGTTTCAGAAACAAAAAAGGGAACAGAAGCTCATACAAACAAGTACTTCCACCCTTGATATTCCAATCCACGCTATTCTTTAAATGGTGAGAATGCCATATGAATTGTAAATCCAGAACAACAGACATGGGCAGGAAATCAGAGGAGTTCTATCTTATATTTTAGTTATGGTGATAAGTGAATAGTGAGAGATAATGTATCTTCTGCTACTAGATTACCAACAAAAGTTTTACGTCAAAATTTTAGAGCTCCACCATTTGGCAACAGGAGGAAAAGAATTTTAGATCTTATGATATCATTAGGATATTAAAAAAAAAAAAAAAAGCCCACGCTGGTAATGCTTTAAACAGCTAAGACCAAATAATGCTCTTTTATCCAGCTCTAATGGATGGAAAGGATCACAGAACTAAAACCTGAAATGTTCTTCAGGTTTCTCACTTTTTCTGGTCAACCAAGCAGAGGATAGCGTATATTCAAATCAAGAGAAACAATAGGAAACCCTCAAAAATCCCAAATAAGAAAAACCTAAGAAGGAAAATCACTAAATCTCTTGAATTAATTTACTTCCTAATCTTTTTTCATTCATTTCCTCACCTTTTAGTACCGATAAAAACAGAGCATCCGCATACCGTGTAAATGACCACAAAACCAGATATCAATAGAAGAACTCATCTCATTTCCTTCATTTCCTCACCAACCAA